TGTGTGAGGGTGTGTGCGTGTGTGCGTGTATCCAACCAGGCAAGCTTCGGCGCTGAAATTTTACCTTTTTGTTTCCCAATTGCTATTCCAGGACGACCGTGCTAACCCTCACGTACGCCTGTGCTCCGCGTACGAGTATGTAAAGATTTTAGCAGGAAAATTGCCAAGTCGAGAACCAGAACAGCTGGTAGACTGAAATTTTAGGGGATGTTCCCCACCCACGTGCAACGTAAATATTTCAAGCTCGTCCCCCATACGAGTGGTACTCACATTCGAGCACGTGATGACGGGAAAATTGCTAGCTCGGGAACCAGAAAAGCTGGAAGACTGTTCTGGTTCCCGAGCTAGCAATTTAAGGGAATTTCCCTCATCCACGTAGAACACAAATATTTCAACTTCAGCCTTCCGGTTTGCGTGGTTCTCACGGCGAAAAATTGCTAACTCCGGAACTGAGAAATCTGGAAGACTGAAATTCTAACGGAACGTTTTTTGTTCCAGTATAACTTAAAGTTTTCAAATTCGGCCTCCTGATGTGCGTGGTTTTCACGTATGGGCACTTAAATTGCTTCCTGAAGAGCCAGATTATTTCCTCTATCCGTTAAACGGGAATTCTTCCTTTTCCTTCATGTAAAGTTTACGATGATTTGTGTTAGTGAGCGCACAGGGTAGGTGTAAAGCAGCAACCGTTCATGCAATAATGACTTGTTTGCTTCAAGTTTACTGCAAAAACGATTGTCGCAGCGGCCAACCTGGTGCATTTTATCCTACGGTTACATCTGATTTGGTTCTCAGTTGGAGTTCACCTGTAACAAAAAAGGAGCATCTTGAGATTATGTTTTAAGTTTTAGCTTAAGTCATTCAGATTAATTGAAATGGACGATAGTATTTGTCTCACGGCCTTTTTTCAATTTTTGCTTTTTTTTCGAATTGCCCTAACTGCCGTCGCTTCTTCCCGAAATTTTTTCACAACTGTACATCCATGGTCTTTTGCAGAGTTGCCGTTGAAAAAAGAAATGACAATGAGTGCTACAAATATAAGAAATCGCAATCGGACAAGTTTATTGAATGCCGTCGGGAAGAAGGCCCGAGAGCAGCAGTACTGGTCAGGGAATTGTATCAAAAGGCATTCTGTCCTGTGCAAATTGCGTCTCAATCTTAATGGTTTATTTTGTGAAGAGTACGAGTCATTTGATGATAATACTGAAAATGATTTTGATTTAGCGGTTAGCGAACTAGAGGATCTGTTTGAATTGCCAGAAACAGTGTGTCCACGAAATATAGTCAGACAAAAACTCCTTAATTGCCAAAAACTCGATGGCGAAAAATAACTGCATTTATGGAGCACCTGCGCTATACCGTTCAACCGGTAACTGTTGGTTTAAGTGAACACACGTTTAAGGACATGCTTTTTGACCACTTTATGGACCGCTTGCATCCAGAAATATCATTCTATTTGTAGATAT